GCGTACATGGATTCTCAGTATAAGCGCGTTCGTCTATCTGACGTGTTTCCTCTGAGTAAACATTGCCTATTGGCATTTACAGGAGTTCCCCCACACATTGGATCACACCCTTGTGAGGGTTAAACCTTACGGGCTCCATGCGTTTTCTGGCACGCACCCCAGCGGGCCGTTATGGAAATTAATTCGTATAGGAGGTTGCCGTACGAACCCCAGCTGGATGTTTTGCTCGAAGTTCCTTCAACGCGTCTTCAAGGCTTTCCTTAATAGGCGCTTTGCCTCGCATCCATCGGGTTAGAGCACCGAATGCAATCCTTCACGGACTCTAAGACTTTGGGAGATCCACGCTTCATACGGGCTTCGCCGGAGGGCGAGAGCAATAGAATAGGATCTGGAGTTGACAAAGCCGCGGAGAGCAGCCTCGGAGAGCTTTTGCCTATTGGCGCTAAATTTGGCCTTGGCATCCAACCTTGCTTTAGATCTTGGTGGCTTTTTGACCACACCTTTCCTTCTTGTAACTCCGTGTGTATTCCGTACAAGCATCCTCATCTTGCGCTAGCAGTGCGCGGCGCTTCGTGTGAACGCTCGCTCAAGATGTTGAACGGGTTCGTTGACACGAACCCATTCGTTAGTAAGGGATTGCGAGAGGTCGCAAACTTGTTGCTGGAGATACTTTGCGTCTTCTGCGTTTCGATCCGCATTCATAGCAGATCCGTCAACAGGCTCCAAACGCCTTGGCAAATTGACGTCGCGAGATTTGACTGCGCCTATTGACGAGCCCTCTTCGTCAACACTGGTGCAATCAACAACGGGGCAACTCCTTGATTTTCGAGGAGTTGTTCTACGACGTTGGAGATCTGTTTCTTTCGAAAGCGCGTATCGTGGCGAGGTGTAAGCTACAACAGCGACGGCGGAGAGTCATCGTCAGATCGATTTCTTGGTTCTTCAGATCTGGAGACCGACGGATCTTCTGGGAGGAGGAGGCCTTCCTGCACCTGCAAGGAGAGGCAGATCTGGAGGAGGAGGAGGAGACATACTCCTCGAACTTCTGCTGGTTGAACTCGTATTCGACCTCTTCGAGCACCAGTATCTTGATCGTCGGTTGTGGCACGACAACTTCGGCAGCGAAGCTGTTGGCTCCCACTGTGGTCGCCAGTTTGTTTGCGGTAAAAGTTGATATTTCCATTGTTATCGAATCTATTACAACTTTAGTCGTTACAATAAACTCGAATGAAATAAAAAGTTGATCTTTTTATAAGATCTCCTTACACAATGAAAATAAAAAGTTTACAACTTTATCAAACAAACGCAGAGATCGTTTATCGGTCTTCTGCTTGCGTGGGATCTTTGCCTGTGTCGGGGTTTATCCGTGGACCACCGTCGATCAGATCTGATTGCTGAAAAATTGGGCAGAGCTTCGTCTATCCGCGAAGGGATCGAGAGAACTGTAGCTCTTATCTCGGCGAAGCGAGATAATCACTCTTCTTAAGATTACCACAACGGGATAATCCTAAGGAACGGATCGGACTGCAGATCTAACTCCTCCTCCTCTTCGAAATCTGTGCACTTTAAGTCTTCAATCCGGCAGGGCTTCGCCAAGGCACGAGAATTCCAGATCTTTAAAAATGAGGGCCTGAGGCTTGTATTTATAGGCCCGGGGGAGTTTGGAGCGGTTAAAACCACCTAAAGGCCCAAATCTACGTTGGAGACACCCCAGGGTGTCTCCACTTGATCCGAGACACCCTAGGGTGTCTCCCCTTGATCCGAGACACCCTAGGGTGTCTCCCCTTGATCCGAGACACCCTAGGGTGTCTCGGTTTGGGCCGAGAACCCCTTGGGTGTCTCGGCCTTGGCCGAGGCACCCTAGGGTGTCTCGGCTTTGGCCGAGACACCTTAGGGTGTCTCGTTGGTCTGAGACACTCCGTTATGGTGTATATGTCCGCTTCGCTGTAAATTCTTCGTCCGAACTCGGATTTGAGTGATTCGAAGTGCGTTGGAAATCCGACAAGGAGTTCTATCAGCTCCGATGGTTGGATCATCTGAAGAGTGAATGAGACACGAAGGGCATTGTTCCTTTTGTAAACATCGCGAGGCTCCCGATTAGCCCGTACCTTCGTTAGTTCACGTAGTTCGTCGATTTACTTCAAGCGTTCATCGACATCAATCGAACTCCTGTGAACCGGATAGTGACGTTCATCGTCGTTCCTTAACACTGAGCTGTTCGTAGAGACCTATAGGTAATTTTCGATGCCTACAGTCGCCCCAATGTTTCCTCGCCAATAAAGTGTCTCAAACTATCGTGAGCTCGGCACAAATGCAGAAAATGATCCCTACCAAAATCAGAATGATGTATTACCTTTCTATCAATACACTTCTTTCACCAGTTGTTGACTACTAGGACTTCACACCAAGGAGACTTGGTTGCAACCTACAAATGTCTAGAACAGTCCCCAACAACGAAAACTAAATACCTATTACCTCCCAATGATGTCTTCTTGGAAGGACCCCAAATGCCTGAATGAACACCACCCAAAAGACCCTTCGCTATGAATAGAAGTGTCAAACTCCACATTGGTCTTCTTGCTCATACCAATGTGCTCACAGGACTTCAATCTGCAGGTCAAAGCACTCCCCAATAATCCATGCATGGCATCAACAATCAAATATCCTAGCATCAACAAACGCCATAGTCTAGCCAAATCCAAAGAAGTCGTCAGCTCTCTGTCAATCACCGTGCTCCTAATCAAATAGTACAATTCTTCTTTCTGACACCCTTCATTACAATCATGGACCCAAATGTTACATTCAAAGATACATCCTCTAAGGTCACCCAATAGCCTTTTGCCTCCAAAACTCCAAGTGAAATGATGTTCTTCTTCAACCACGGAACGAACATCACTTCATCCAATTCCTGAATTACCCAATCACACATCCTAATAAGAACGGTACTGATACCACTAATAAGGTATTCATAATCATTACTCATGAGCACGACATCCACTCTGTAGAGTCAGCATAACAAACTGACGGTAGTGCTAATGAGTAGCCTGGAGAATCCGAATCTGAATTGTCGCCACTAGGCTTGGCAACATTCACCTCTGAAGCTTGAATAGCTTTCTCCTTATTCTTCCCGATTCGATTTGTCAACTTTGGGCGTTCGGCTTTCCAATATCCATCTTCTTTATAAAAGACACACTTATTCTTACCAACTGCAGGGTATTCTCCTCTAGACTGTGATCTCCTACTACGGTTTGGACTCTTCCCTCTTGCGACCAATGCCCCCGCTACTGTATCGATCGAAGTCTCCTTATTCTTCTTCCGAAACTGATAATTCACAAGTGCAGCGGTGACCTCACTATACGAATGAGATGTATTACCATTAATAAGAGTAAGAACAAATGTTTCATATTCCTCGTCGGGCAAGGAACTCAACAATAACAACACATTGTCCTCATCTTCAATTATAACATCTACATTCGCCAAATCCGTAAGAAGCTTCGTGTAGTTGTTCATGTGATCACCAATAGATGTTTCCTTCTTCAATTGGAAGCGATAAAGCCTCCTCTTCAAATACAAGCAATTTTTCACACTATTCGTCAAATACTTGCTCTCTAAGATCTCCCAAATCTTCTTAGCCAAAGTCTCATGGATCACATTGTATTTCAAATCTTGTGTTAAACAATATCTAATCACACCACACACCGTTCGATTCATCTTCTTCCAAACCTTCTCCTCAATATCGTCTGATTTCCCGTCTAACTCCAAAGTATCCTCCAAATTGTGCGCGTTGAGCGCATCCAAGACTTCACTCTCTAAAGACCAAAATTGTTAGTGCCGTTAAATTTCTCCACATCTATCTTCATAGAATGAATATTCAAACTTTGGACGGTCTTCACACCAGAAGTACCCTCCACAACTCATTATTTCTCGGCCATCTTTCTCAAAAAACCACCAAACCAATACGGAACAAATGAAGAATAGATCCAAACTGAAAAGAGAGATTTTTATACCTCCAAGTGAAATCCTAATAAGAGACTCCGAAAGAGCTCAACCCCACATGACGGAAACAAGATCCACAATAGTAAAAATTCCATATTTATCACCAACTGAAGCCCTAGATGAGCTTCCAAAGCAATCTACTCCTCCACCTCGCCCAAGCGTACCCTGGCTCTGATACCACTTGTTGTGCGCGGCGGCCAAACCGATGAGGTGCCGAGAACAAATACCAATGCCGAGAGAGAAATGCCAAACAATCCAAAATAACGGCACAAACACAAATAAATGAATTTTACGTGGTTCGGCAAGTTACTTACGTCGACGGGGCAAGAAGGGGATGTGTTTTTACTGATAGAGAAGAAGAGTACAAATAGAAATTACAAATTCACAAACTAATCTCTCACACAAAGCTCTCAATCTCTCAAACAAAACTCTAACCAATAACTCCAGAAAAGACTCTTTTCTGTGCTCCAAATATCCCCAATACTGCTCTCTAAGAAACCCTAAATCGTGTTTGGTATTTATACCAAACTCAAACCAAATCAGAACAAGAAACAAAGAACTGGGCCTGACCTGATACGTGGTCAACCGCGACAAACACAGAACCCAGAAAAATAACTGCAGGCTTCGGCGGTCGACTGCGGCAGTCAGGAAACCAAATTCTGGGCCTGACCCGATTGGCGGTCGATCGAATAAAGCTCGTGGTCAACCGCGAGTAACGACAGAACCCAAAAAACAATTACAGGGTTTGGTGGTCGATCGCGACAGTCGACCGCACCCAACTCCAGACTCTCGGGTTTGATTATAGGGTTTGGCGGTCGACCGCGGCAAACCCTGAATCATACCCAGGGTCTGTGCACGTATTCGGTCAACTGGCCTAACACCGCGGTCGACCGAACATGACCAAAACTATTCTCCTGCTTCCCAAACCTGTTCTTCTCAAAATTCCTTCGTCATTTCTACACGTGTCTCTCACAAACTTTAGAGAAGCTAATTAAAAAACGGAAAAAAAAAACATAATCGTCTCAATTTTCAAACTTAGTTTTATACAACCAACAGCATCATATTTTTATAAGACAATTTACAAGAGAAAATATAACATTCCATGTTTATTTCTTACACCAGACCATAATGCATTGTGGCCAAGAGAAGATTAGTACACAACATGAAACAAATTATCAGCAACGGCCCCCATTATTCTGTAAAGCTTATAAGAAACCATGTACCTTTCACAAGTTTATATTCACCACCAGAGGAGCATCCCCTCTCTCCACGGTGAAGGTTCGAGAGAATTTCTTCGTTAAGCTAACAACTTCAATGGTATAATCACCATGAAAGCCTCTAAACTTTAACTCGCAGTTCTCATCAACATACCCATTACAATGAGACATCCATTCTCTCTTGAGAGCCAAGTACCTATTCCCAGCTTCATTAAGATCACCTTCAGCATTAACCAAGTGACCGTTATTCCTCACGTACAACTCCCAGAATCCCCAAAGCATTATTCCCTCAACTGCAGGGTGAGCATAAGCTTCTCGAAGCATAACCTCCAAATCCTCAGCTCGAACAAACTCATTCTCTGCTCCTACGTCCAGTTCAGTAAACCAAATAGGAAGTCCTAAAACGCCTAACTTATCCAATGCTGAGCATACAATTGGGCCTACAGGATAATCAATATGCCCTTGTATTCCAATCCCTCCAACAGGTGCTCCTTGTTCTTGTAATCCAATTATATGCTCGATATATTTCTCAGGTGCTGCGCGAGGATCAGTTCCATCTTCAACATGGTAGTCGTTAACAAACAGGGTAGCATCAGGATCTAATTGATGTGCAGTTTTAAACATAGAAGCTCGAATATCTTTTCCTAGTCTATCTTGATAAAAGGATCCATGAAGCATCTCATTGTTGACATCGTAATGTTTGAATTTGCCTTTGTACCTTGATAGAAGACTATTAAGCCGGTTCTGAACTGCTGACATCAGATCATTCTTGTTCAGGGATTTGATCCAAGATTGCACAGTGCCATCTACTTCCCAAAAGATACAGTGGCCTCTAACTTCCATCCCATTTTTCTTGCACAAGTCTACGAGTTCATCAGCGTCAGTGTAGTTTAAGTTTCCTCGCTGTGCTTCTGTCCAATACCATTTTAGCTCGTTCCCAAACACCCCCCAGTTGAAATTTTTGGTGAAGAAATCAACAAAATCTTCATTATCCATATTCGTCCGCATAATGCATGATCCAAAGGGGAAACTGTTCTTGATCTGTCTGACTTTGACGAATGTTCCAAGAAGGCTCTCGGTGCCTGATCCTGAAATTTTAATGGTAACATCTCGCTTTCGTACCTGTATAAACAATTATGAAGTTAGGGTGGGGTTAAAGGTTACAATTTAATAGTCTAAATTTATCTTGAGAAGAAAAAAAAAATCTACGGACAAAGAGCTAAAAGTGGGCCAATCCACAAAAATAGGTGATCAGAAAAACAAAGATAGATTAAAATTTACCTTGTCAGTTTGATGTTTAAGATGTCTGAATCTTGCTTTCCTGTCAACAGGAAATATTTGAAGCCCGGCAAGCATTACATCAACACCTGGTGAGGCACCTTGAACATAAACAATAACTCTTTTCGGTTGCTCCTCAATTCTGAATGCTCCTCCAATTTCATACCACCTTTCATCTTTAGCTTCAACTTGTCCCCCATTGACCCACTGGCTATCAACACCAAGAGCCACATTGAGATTCTGAGAACCATTTGCTGCAGAACTGACTCGAACCCAAGCAGACACTTGGTATGTTACATTTAGCTTCAATTTGTCAGTGATGGTTTGAGCAGGGCCCATCCAAGATTGAGTTCGGTTTGTCACAAGAATGTAGTTTCCATTTAATGGCTCATGTGTGCCAAGAGAATCTCTTGCCATTGGAGGAAGAACATGAGGTGATCCATAAGCAACACTTAGATTGCATGGACCAAGAGGGAACCACCCATTTAGGCCATCGCTGAGATCACTGTTTGTGATTATATTGACCCCATAAAGAACATTCTGCATATTCAGAACTAAATGTAATTAGGTGAAATTACTTGCAAGTAATTTCGCAGAGTTCAATCCAACCAATTTGACAACAACAAAAAGAACATGTTCTAACATAAAATGCAAGATTATTCAATGGTAACACTATTTCCAAACATTAATTATTTTGATTGGAACAAGAGTTTCATGGATACATATTGGTGAGATGATAAGCTTCACGTAACAAAAATAACTATGAACCTTAAAGCCAATTCCAATAGTCTTACTCATGTAACGAAAGAAAAGGATGAAACAGAACACTAGTTTAGAAAATATGTTGATTATAACAACGATTACAGTAGTTTGCTATTTTCCTTTTTTCAAGAGGTTAGTGTTTCTTTCTACATTTTGAATTTATACATGTTATATAGACATATGTTCTTTACATTTCTGGTCAGAGACGTTCCTCTAGATATATTTTATAATTTGATATATCTAACATAACTATGCAAGATGCCAATCTTGCTTAATATTTTTTTTGTTCTTCAATTAAGAAATAGTAGCGTCAAGCAAATAAAAACAAATTCCTTAGCGCATTAACAATATTATATCATGAGAAGTTTTAATTTATTTATTTGAGGGAGATATCACGAGAAATATTATGAACGTAAAAACACATATTAAGCCATAATATGTGCAGTATCTATATAGATACATCGAAGTAAATAAAGAAAGAATGCAACATACTAACCTCTGTATCGGGTGGAGATGGTGGTTGGTTCTTTTGTGCATGTTTAACAACCAAACTATTCAGAAGAATATCAGTACCGGGTGGAGGCCCTTCCAGAAATATGAAAGCCTTTGAAACAACACCATTAATCATAAATTTTCCCTGTAATTGTGCCCAATCCTTATCTGATGACTGCAACCTGGATCGAGGAAAATAGTGAGTTTAAACTTGAACAGCCAATCGTCAACTAAATCATGAAATTTTGAAATCATTCTCACTTAGCAATGCCAATATATTGTTCCCGACCATTTGGTGCTTGAACATATAAAGTTGCCCTAACTTCAGCGGGATTAGAATTTCCAAATATTCGAACTACTGCTGTGACCTCATATGCAAGCTTTCTTTGCACTC